TTTAAAAAGTTAATGTGTCTGCCCTGATTAATCACAAGCTGAAAGGAGTACTTGATGAGTAGTGTATACTTCATTTAGCACTATTTCATAAAACCTGGCTTGACAGTAGTATAAGATAATTTAATCAAATAATACAAAAGTTGAAAGATGCGCCAGTTGGCTCATGCTCAAGAAGAAATACACAGCTTCTGAACAGCAGGAAAGACTGCAGTAAAGCAACTGAGCAAGTGAGCAGCAAATGACACTGTCAAGCCATTTTCATGTGGTACTGACTTGCTTTAGAACACAGTTCTTGACTAAAAGACTACTCAAACAATTCTAACAAACATATGCTATTCTGGCTGACACTACGTTGTGGAGCATAAAGCTCTAAAGACTTGTTCTTACAGTTTAAGGTCAAGGACTCTCATAATGAATAAATATTATGATACAGAATGTCCAAGACTCACAGCCACTGTTTCCCCTAAAAAAGGCCACAGTGAAAATTATTTGTTTCTCTCAGAAATAGCGTGCATACTTGTTCTTTATAGTATCACAAAACAGATCACTTCTTGTGACATTTGAAAAACGAGCAAAACACAACAGAAGAGAGGTTTTTGTTTAGCATCAAATTCTTAAGCTCACGTGTCTCTAAACAAAAAGCAGTGCCTGTGACATAACACACCAAGTGACAAAGAGTTTACAAAGTGCTAAAGCTAAAGAATGATTTAAATAATATTCAGTTATTGACAACCGGTGCTAAGCGAAACCTGGCTTGGGATGGAAGTATTCTATTCGGTACCCACAGGGCTCAAATGACTTTCAGTGCAAAGAGTGAATTGAAATCAGTAACACCTCTGACATAAGAATGTGAACAGAAATATATACATCTCTAACCATGTGCAGTGCAGAATGCTATCCTGTAGTCCAGACAAACCACAAATTTACAGTCCATACCAAAACCTGGTATCAACAAGTTAAAAAGGAAACTTTCACTACACAGAAAGCTTCTACATGAGGCTCCAAGTCTGGTAATAACAAAAGCAGGCACTTAAATATTTGTCTGTGGGCTCAAGAGCAAGAACCTACACACTAAACAAAGCACATTAACTAACCCACCAGTAAATTGTCTTTGTTCCAGACAAATTGCTTCCATATTTGTAGTATATAGATTATTTCAACACAATTTCATCTTTAGGTTCTTTATATATATAAAAGAAAGTATGGCATCAAATTTGGTTCTGTCAGACTGACTGCTGATAAGTCTATAACCAGGAGCTAAGGACTAAGAACTTCTTTTCTCATTTTCCTTAACTAAAATATGATCTAAATAATCTGTTTCTCCATACTTCAAGAATTAAAAGCATGATCCCAACCTATTAAACAATTCTCCCAACTCTTTTCCTTTTTCTAATGTTTGTCTTGCATAACAAGTCTCCTGTGAAACCCTCTCTCTAGCTCCACTGACAGAGCTGTCTGTACACAACCTTTGAACCATTGATTCCACTCAACTCCTCTGATCGTAGAGGAGTACTTAGGAGAAGTTATTGACCCCGGTTCTTACGGTAACCAGCTACAAAACCGATGCGTCCAGAACGTAGTTATTACACTTGTGTAAACACAATGAAAACTCTCAGGCTAATGAGTGGCCAGGTGATACCATTCCACACTGAAAGTGATGCTGGCAACTGAATGCTTATTATAGTAGTGCTTAATTGGGCCAACAAAAACCAGGGCTTTGACATGACCTTCTGACAGGCCCATAATCGTTCAATTATTGCACATACTTATCAACAGTCTATTACTTACCAGAACCCTCATGATGTACAAGTACAGAAATGGGTTCCTCATTTCAGTAAAAAGAAACTAAAGCAGAATAGTCTTGTCCCTTTTTACTGACTTCATCCTTTGTTGTGTCAACAGTTAATGAACACTGTGAGCTTTTCTTTTAAATTCTGCAATAGTAATTACAGGATACAGCACAGGCTCTTTTATCCTCTATTACTTAATTTGCACCCACCATCTTTATTTTCAGAGATTCTAGATGACTGAATATGGAAACGCAGATGCACCAATCTACTTGGTGTTGATGTTTTCTTCGCAACTGCCAGAGAACCATGGAGGAGACTGACCAGTGAAGTGTTCCCCT